GTTACCGATCATCAATTATTTGCGATTCAAAATTATACAAGGCTTGGACATGTGAATTTAGAGAACTTGTTTGGGTAAAAAGTCTTCCGATTTCTTTTCTTCAAGAAACAGTTTCTTGAATTGGATGATAAATAACATATTTTCTTCATTTGTTCTTATGAATTTCAGGTGATATCATCAAGAAATTGAAGGAGAATGGATTTGAGTATACTTGGGGAAACGTTACCGTAAAACTTGCAGAGTCCTATGGTTTTTGTTGGGGGGTTGAGCGTGCAGTTCAGATTGCTTATGAAGCGAGGAAACAGTTTCCAACAGAGAGGATTTGGATAACTAATGAAATTATTCACAACCCCACTGTGAATAAGGTTTCTGCTTATAATCCTTAGATGTGCATGCCCATTGCTCAAGATTTTCAGTTTTTCTTTATTGTAGGAGGAAGACTGTGAAATTGTATTCATCATATTGCTCCTTCTTCCCTCCTCTACAAATATCTTGGCAGTTTTAGAAATTACCTTCAATGTGCCTTGACTTTTAGGCTGTTAGTGGTTTCGTATATATACTAGTTGCTTACTCAGAATAAGTTGCAGCTAAGGATAGTAACTGCTGCTCTCATGCTTTAAGACATTGGCTTTCACTCTTATGTGAGACTAGTTACACGTAGAAGAGTAAAGACTTCTACTACTTTTTCAGATGCTGGGATCCTATAGATGATTTTTGAAATGTCCTTTTTCACATGTAGTTATTACTTCAAATCATGTATAGGTTTTCTCTGGTGCCCCATTCCTCTTCGATAGGTTTATTGTCTGTTTCCCTTCTTTTAGACATAAAAAGTCCTTGAATGGCATGAAAATTGAGAAGGAATATGTGAGAAGAAAGGATTTTTAGTTTACTTAATAGTATGCTGAAAAGCTAAAATAGTATAAAATTAAATTTCTGGTGCAGAATTTTTGAATGGGATATATAGCTGGTGAACATTCTTAATTTGAAGTATATTTCCGATACCACCGATGCCATCCTCTGCATTTTGTGCTTTTTGTACTTTCTTAGGCAGGCTATGTTCTAGTTGATGCCAGTTGTCTGTTTGTGTTCTATCTTATCTCATATAAATTCTGATAAATTACTTTGTCTGGATCAGAGGCTAGAGGATATGGATGTTAAGAACATTCCTCTTGAGGAAGGGAAGAAAAACTTTGATGTTGTTGACAAGGATGATGTTGTGGTTTTGCCTGCTTTTGGGGCTGCTGTTGATGAAATGTTGGTTTTGAGTGATAAAAACGTACAAATTGTTGATACAACCTGCCCGTGGGTGACTAAGGTTTGTGATACAGTTGCTAAAATGAATCGTTGGCCTCTATGTCCTTTGAACTATATTAGGGTTCCTCATAATTCTTAGTACAGGTTTGGAACACCGTTGAAAAGCACAAGAAGGGAGAATATACCTCCATTATCCATGGTAAATATGCTCATGAGGAAACTGTTGCGACTGCATCCTTTGCTGGGAAATACATCATTGTGAAGAACATGGCAGAGGTATTTCAACCTCACACCATAAGTGTTCTTTGCTTGAAATAATGAGTTGGAATCTCATCTTGCTTATTCTATGGAAATTTTTCCTTGATGCAGGCAACTTATGTCTGTGATTATATTCTTGGAGGTAAACTTGATGGTTCTAGCTCAACCAAAGAGGCATTTATGCAGGTGCTGCCTGAGTTGTCTATTTGACCTGCCGTCTACAGTTGCAGTACTTTGCATTAATACTGATATTTTCTGTGAATATTTTTCTGTATAGAAATTTAAATATGCAGTTTCTGAAGGGTTTGATCCGGATGTTGATCTTGTAAAAGCTGGTATTGCAAACCAAACTACGATGTTGAAGGGAGAAACAGAAGATATTGGTTAGATTATATTTAGAGTATCACTCCCTATTATAGAATTCCTCCAGACTGCAATCATGTAGTGATTTAGCTTCTTTTGATATACAGGGAAGTTGGTCGAGAGGACCATGATGCAAAAATATGGGGTGGAAAATGTTAACAACCACTTTGTAAGTTTCAACACTATATGCGATGCGACTCAAGTAAGTTCTCTTACATCCTTGTTTTCCCTAAATTTCACTGTACATACAGATGACGTGTTATATGCTTGTTTATTGCATCATCTGTTCCTTTCTTCCTCTTTGCCTTGAGACATTCTAGTTAACATAATAACATCTGACTTACAAATCGATTTTCTACATCTATCATTCTGTGTGATGCACATCCATTTTTGGTATTTATTTTCCTCCCATAGTACCAACCTCAATTTCTTCAGCAGTACTCCTTTCATATATCAATTTTAGATCTCAATTACCTAACTAATAATATATTTTATTAAAAGTGATGTAAAATATCGAAGAAGGTAAATTCAGCCTACTCTTTTATTTCCTAGCCCAAACTACCAAGTCTTCGTTCTTTCGGTTAACATCGATAATCATATTTCTTTGATTGGGGGCGGTTTGGGGAGTGGAGACAAGTGATCCCTGTTTAGGACAAGTGTTGGTCTTTTCTCTTTCTAAGATATTAGATAGTGGTTACCAACTGGTCTTCTCACCTCATGCTAACAGATGACCACAATGTTTGGGTGGATAATGCCTTCTCCTTAAAATGGTTAAGTTGGAAAATTTGTATTCTTCTCATTTAGATGGGATTAATTAATGGAAATTACGGTTATGAAAAAAAAGCCTGCATTGGTTTCCTTTTCTCCCCCCCATAATCTATGGCTTCCCTCTCCTTTGTACCTCTGATACTTAAGATTGCATTATCTATATGTGGATGTACTATGTGCACGCACCATGACATGTTCGTGCAAGGCATGATTAACTAGACATTAATAATACATCTCAAAGTTTCTCTTGCTTCTGGCACTAGAAGGGTGGATTTTTGGCCTGGTTTTCTAGAGTCATTTATTGTTATCTATTTCTTTCTTAAAAGAAGGGGAGCCTTGGAGCAACGGTAAAGTTGTTTCCGTGTGACCTATAGGTTAGAGGTTCGAGCCGTGGAAGCAGCCACTAATGCTTGCATTAGGGTAGGTTGTCTATATCACACCTCTTAGGGTGCGGCCCTTCCCCGGACGCTGCGTAAATGCGGGATGCTTTGTGCACCCGGCTGCCCTCTTTTATTTCTTTCTTAAAAGTCATCTGTTGTTATTTTTCTTTGGATTAAGAAAACACAGAATTTGTTGTATGAGGGTCTGGACATTGGATATATTATTTCTTACCAAACCATTATAGGACCTTCTGTATTTTCCTTTCTTGTGATGCTTTATATCATTATTTCTTGACCTATAACTTATCCCTACTTATAACAGGAGCGTCAAGATGCAATGTATAAGCTGGTCGAGCAAAAGCTGGATCTTATGTTAGTGATTGGTGGTTGGAACTCAAGCAACACTTCACATCTACAGGAGATTGCAGAGGAACGTGGAATTCCCTCATACTGGATTGACAGTGAGCAGAGAGTAGGTCCTGGAAACAAAATAAGTTACAAGTTAATGGTGAGCTGATTTACACCCTGTGATTTGCAACTAAATTTTAAGAGAGTATTTTGGTTCTTATACCCACCTTATTTTGACAGCATGGTGAGTTGGTTGAGAAAGAGAACTTCTTACCAGAGGGTCCTATTACAATTGGGGTGACATCTGGTGCATCCACCCCCGATAAGGTAGTTCTACTGAAGCTGCTAATATGGTTATTGTGCTTTTTATAATTATCCTTTTCCCTCTAGTTCTTATGTTACCAATCCAAGTTATATGTTTCCTTCTATGAAGCACTTTGATGTATTGGCTCTCTTTATCATAATGAGAATAATGGACTTCTGTAGGTTGTTGAAGATGTCCTTATCAAGCTGTTTGATATCAAGCGCGAAGAAGCCTTACAATTGGCCTAAACAAGATTGGAGCTCCAAGATAATAGGAGTGCTACAATTTGTTTCCACCCAAAAAAAATAATTGTAGGATATGCTGTATGTGCTAGCACAACTATGCTAAATAACATGTTCTTGTAGATGTATAACTCTAAGTTTTTTAATATTAATATGCCGCTGTCCAGCTCTCTGTAGTGATGTAAACCTTGCCTGCCGGTGAGTCCCTTTTTAGATACAGTAATATGAACTTCTTAGAATGAGAAGATTACTAGTCGATATAATTTTTATGAGTGCCTGTTTTCGTATACAAAATTTGATTGAAGTTTGAAATTTCTCTCCAATTTTTCTTAATACAAATGACGCAAAGTCGTGTTAGTAATTTATGCCTATTTCTTAAATATTTTGAGAGAAGATATTTTCGTTAGTCATCCCATAAGAAAAATGAATTAATCACCTGTTTGGACCAAGAGCCATTTGAAACACATTCATTTGATCAAAGTCTAATCCAAAAGTATATTGTATACTTAGCCAAAAAAAAATGGAGAAAAAGACACCTTCCCCCATTTTTTTTGTGGGAAAAGAATCTTAAGTATACTTGAAAAGTCTGCTGACTTGTCCTAAAATTGAGTATTAATGGTTTTATATCATATATTAAAATAAAATGCCACGTCATCACGAATCTTGCTGAGTCTCTGTTGGTCCACTCCATGTCTTCACTCTTATCTCAGCTTGAACTGCCTGCAATTATGTGATTGCTTAGTTTTACACTATCAATGCAGTTACATTGTCCCTTCAGATAGCTATTATTATTACAGTAAACTCGATGTTAATTACCTCTTTCTGCCAATTGGTTCGACCAATAATGACAAGTATGATGATTGTTTGAAGCAAGCTTCCACCAAGCATTGCATACCATACCCCTTGTACACCAAGTTTAAACTTGTACCCAAGAAGTGCTCCTAATGGCAAACCCAAACCATAATAACATCCAAAGTTTACAAACGCCACTAGAAATTGCCATCCTGCACCAATTGCTACCCCTACAAAATGTTTTCAGTATCTGACTTTACTGTTATAGTTGGTAAATATAAGTTGTTTTTTCTAATGTGAGGTAAAAAAATACATACCATGGAGAACAGTTTGGATGCTGGTAATGAAGATGGTTAATGCAAGAATATAGCCCAACTTGGATGTTTCACTTATAACCTTTGGCTCATTTGAGAACATTCTTGGAAACTGTCTTCTTGTGGTCAATATGATAACTGAAAAAAGAACTCCAAATATTGTTGCTATCAAGACATTGACTCCAATTGTGAATTTTGCACCTTTTGGATTTCCTGCCCCTAGTTCATTTGAAACTCTCACACTGAAATGTGCAACATAATATTTAGCCAAAGTACTAATATCATTTTTTATATTAAAAAAAGAAGATGCTTGTTTGAAACTGCTAACCTGGCTGATATAGTGAAACCAAAGATAAACATAAGTGCCCATACTTGTAAATTGATGCTGCAATATCCAAAAAAAAGTACTAAGGATTCAGAATGCTTAAAACAAGGGGGATTGCAAATGGGGAAATCGGGAATTCAACCTCATTAATAAGCTGAAAGTTTAGGTAGCCAACCGACTGAGCTACAAATTAAGATTCCTCCAAATGAATGAAGGTACTTATGAATGAATTTATGGAATATATTTTACCAGATTGATAGTGAGTCAACAGCAACTTCAGCATCCTTCAAGCCTCCTACAACTAAGATCACTCCTGTGAAGTACCATACCTCTAAACTGCCATCATTAGATTCATTCGTCAGGGAAAAAAATTGATTCAGAGTATGTAACACACTCTCAGATGTACTGAAACTGAATTTATCTATGTTGCTCGGACTCTTCATAAATGTGAACAAGTGCTCGTCGAGTCCGAGCAACATATGAATTTGTAGTCATTCACCACACTTACCATAACATTATAGCTGAGGAAACTGAGAGCCTCAAGAATTTGGTTAATGACTTAAAAGCCAAAAATGAAAAACCAGTCCATGCCTCAGGAAACCAACCACAAACAATATAAATAATCTTTGACACAACCAAAATCCAAAAAGATATATTCCCAGCTATTGCAGCACCAACAAGTCCCATACTCAACTTTGTCACAAAAATCCAATTCAACAACACATGAATTGCCAATGTCAACATTGAACTAAAAGCCATAAACCAAACTTTGCTCTGAGCTTGAAGGAACTTCTCTGTAGGATAGTGCAATGCACTTGCAAATATTTGAGGAATTATCCAAATTGCAAATTTACCAGATAGATAAGATATTTCTGTATCTTGATGTAGGAGCTTCAGTATTTGAGACGCGAAGAAATAAGTCGGTGTCAATAGCAATGCTGCCACTATACTGATAATCCATGATCTTTGTAAGTAAATTCCAAGCATGTTGTATTCCCCTGCACCAACTGCTTGACCACAAAGCGTCTCCAGTGCACTTCCTAATCCTAACTAATATCATAGAATTCAACACGAAATTTGAATGAATCATCTAGGGCAATGTTGTGTGAGTTCAACTGAATTGAGGTCGAACATACCATTATTCCAATTACAAAGCATAGTAGAACATTTTGAACTTCAGAGACTGCAGCAAGCTCAAGTTTTCCAAGTTGACCAGCAAAGGCAGCAGTTACACAGTCCAAAGAGAATACAGAAACTGAAGTTATAATTGCTGGTCCTGCTATGTGCCATACTTTTTTGAATTCATCTATCCATTTCTTTGCTATTTGTTTTCTATAACCAAAGTGCATTGCTTTCTTCCATAATTTCATACCTGATGCTCTTGCAACACTTCAATGTAATTTCTGTTGTACCATACAAAATTAGTTGTCTTTTGGCTCGAACTATGTATATATTATGTTAAAATAATTCACGGACATCCAAAATCCACTGACTCTAAATTCTGGATTCGCCTCATCTTTTAGTCGGTTCCTCCATTTTATCACTTTTTTTTTGAATGAGGAATAATGTGGATGTCAAAGTTATTCTTAAATGCAGAGTTGTGTGTACGTTTCTACTGCAGATATATTAAGTAATTTGATATCTATCTCCACAACAAACCAAATTATTTATGGTCCCAAAAATTTAAGTTTGTTACTTTACTTTTTTGTTTGTTTCAAAAAGAGGTTTTTTTTTCCAGATGTTTATTAAGTTTTTAAATTTCAATATTTTACCTAGCAAGTTTATGACCGCAAAGATTAAATGACTACACATATTTTTAATTTACAACGACATAATTCAAAAATATTTCTTTATTTCTTAAATTTGTATCCAATCAAACTAAAACACTTAAATTGGGACGGAGTGAGTACATGTTTAGTACTGCAAATTGATCTGTCAAATATTTAAATTTTCCATGATTTTATGTGAGCAGATCTATCCCTTTTTCTACAGCAGTTTTAGTAGTCTTTTTTCCAAAGAAATATATTCCTTAAAATAGGAATTTGGTCAGGTTTGTTTACTTCTGTGTTCTTATTCTCTTATTAATTTCCTTTCATAAAAATAAAATACAAAAGGAAACAAATCTTTATAAATTACTTCTAGAAGTGTAGATTCAGTTCTATCTAAGCAATGACTCATATCATCTCTCTATCAAATTAACTACTCGATCCATTTCAATTTACTTGTCTAATTTTAACTTGAAACAGAGTTTAAAAAGTAACGATGACTTTTTATCGGGGAAAACTTTATAACATCCCATGAGAAAATAATACAATAATAAAAAGGACTGCAGAGAGGGGAATCCAGCAATGTTACTAGGGAAAACTTTATAACATCAGATCTTAACTCAGTAAAAAAATAATTTAAACTGTCAAAAGTATATTTAACAAACAAAATACTATTTAAAATTACCAAAAATTGCATTTGAACTTAATAAAAGCTTTGAAATAACAGGCATCTAACCTTATAATTTGTTGAAAGGGCTATTAACTCTGTTCATCAATTAAAAAAAACTATCTTAGTGGTAGTTTACTTCTTGAATGGTGTTATATAGAGCCCCAACATAAATAAAGGGCAAATATTACTAAATGACAAGGATTCATATAGTCTTTGACTAGATTACCAGCATTTTGAATTTTGTAAATTCTCATAAATGCTAGCAGATCACATATTAATGTCTACCATTCCTTTAATTTGTATTTTCATTTTCTTAACTTTGGCTTTTCAAATTCTAGGACTTTTAAATTAGTAACCAATAAATACATAGGTTAATTTTATTTAGAGCCTGTTTGGATTGACTTAAAAAAGTAGCTTTTAAGTCAAAAATAAAAAGTCAAACTGAAATGACTTTTAAGTCAAAAAATAAAAAACAGGGGAGACCTACTTTTGGTTTATGACTTATTTGAAGTCATTTTTTACCTTGCCAACCATTTCGTAACTTATTTTAAGTTATTTTTTGTATCTGCCAAATACTTCCAGAAGTCAAAAACTGACTTAAAAGTGGGTTTGACCGACTACCGACTTTTAAGCCAATCCAAACGGGATCTTAATCTACCTTTTTGTTTTCCCTTAACATTAAAATTTGCATGAACTAAAAGAAAATGAGAGATGGAGAAATATCTAGAGTTGATAGATATCGGGATTGAATAATCATCATATTTGACTTATCTTCAACCTTCATGGAATGACATATAAAGCTAATAATGTATTATGATTACAACTTTTATAGATGAAAAGACAATATATAACTTTCAACATATAATTATTTACGGGTATAATTAAAATGATATCTTGGAGTATTTTACTATCGAAGTGGTAACTACAAAGTTAGAAATAAGAGATATAAATTTCTTTTTTAAAAAAAAAAGAGTTTGAGATTTCGAACCCACAACTCTAGCATTAAAAACCTGAATCATCAATCAATTTTGTTAGAGGTTCACAAATTAATATACATATATATTTATTTAATTTTCTAGTACAAATACAGGAACTAAAGAAAAGGTTTGTTCCAACCCACGAACCCCCACCTAGCTCCCCTTTGCCAGCAAACACAATTTATTTAGGAAGTAGCAGAGTTCAATTCTTTACATCTTCATCGCGTTTGGTAAACACCAAAAATTGTAAGTACGAAAATATAAGACTTGCGCAATCAGGTCCATTATGACCGAATTTTTGTTGCAGTCCTAAACAATTCTAATGCAAAATTTTCCGGTTTTACTATACTATATACCTATCCGATTCTTGTATGATCTACTTTGTTTATTGCAGAGGCGAGGTACTACGCGAACCAATATGCTCAATCTCTTCTTGAGAAGACTGATCGCCATATGTTCTGATGCGTTCTTCAGCATGAATTGCCTGCATCAGATAAAGTATACATTCACATTCCCGAAATAAATTGTCTAGTTAATGGATCAAATTTCAGATTTGTAAACTTTCAAATGCAGTAATTACCTCTTTTCGCCAATTAGCTTTCCACATTTTGAATGTCAAAACTATTGTTTGAAGCAGGGTACCAACGAGCATTCCTGTCCAAATTCCCTTAACACCAGTATTGGCAATGTAACCAAGACAAGCACCTAATGGAAGCCCAACCATATAGTAGCAAACGATGTTTATAATCGCGACTGAATATTGCCATCCAGCACCAACTGCTACCCCTGCACTTGCACAAGAAATGTTCGTTCAAATAACTTAGCACTAGGACTGTCTTTAGTGTCGTCGTTTTTTTCAACATTTGGGATGAATTTTGATTACCATGAAGTATAGGTTGGATGCTCATTAGAAAGATAGTAGCAGCTAAGAAGTATGCCAACTTAGATGTCTCATGTATGACTTCAGGTTTATCAGAAAACAATCTCGGGTAATAGTTCTTAGTAGCAATTACAGCAACTGTAAATACAACTCCGACTAGAGTTGATGTAATTACAGCAACTACTACTGAGAACTTTGCAGCTTTTGGACGACCAGCTCCTAGCTCATTGGAAACACGAACACTGCAACCATGGAATTTGAAGTGTGAAAGAGGAATACTTGACGTGAAATAGATAACACAAAAATGTGATTTTTGTAAACCTGATTGCAGCATTGAAACCTAGAGCGATCATTAGTACCCAAAGTTGAAGCGCCAAGCTGTGAAAAAACATGAGAAAAGAGTAAGAACAACGCGAGCCTAGAAAAAACTAATTAAATTCTATTAAAATTCAAAAGTTTAGTACCTGGTTGATATAGCATCTACTGCAATTTCCGGATTCTTTAACCAGCCAACCATGAGGTTCACCACAGTAAAATACCAAAGCTCCAGACTGCCAATGTTTCACAAGTCAAATATATCATCGAATCATCATAACAATCATATATAAGGATGCTTAAAAACAGACCTAAACTATCTTTTTTTTTTTTGTGAGCACCTATGACTACCAATCTGAACTATTTGAGGTGTGAAACTCACGAATAGTGACAGTTCAGATGTGTTTTTGACCATAACTCAAGAATAAAAAGTACTTGTATGACTAAAAATCAATAGAACTTACCATAACATGACAGCTGATGCAAGTGATAATTTAACAAAACTCCAGAGAGATTTGAAAGCTAACATAGAAAATCCAGTCCATGATTCAGGAAAAAACCCAGCAATAACATAGAAAATCTGAGCTAAAACCACGAGCCACCACGAGACGTTCCCTGCCATAGCAGCACCAAAAAGGCCATGTCCGAGCTTTGTCACCAGCACCCAATTCAATACAATATGAAATACCAATATGACAATATTGATTACTGTCATAACCCATATTTTGCTTTGAGCTTGTAAGAACTTCTGAACAGGAAAGTTCAACGCGTAAGCATAGAGTTGAGGAATCACCCAAATAGCGTACTTTCCTGCAACTTCTGAAATTTCTTTGTCCTGATGTAGTAGCTTCAATATTTGTGATGTGAATACATAAAAAGGTGTCAATAACAACGCTGTCGCTAGAGTAATCACACATGATCTTTGTAGATTTACGCCCAGCATATCAAATTGTCCTGCTCCAACAGCTTGTCCACAAAGTGTCTCAAGAGCACTTCCCATCCCTAACTAATATACAACACACATTTAACACACACAAAGAACAAAGAAAACATTCAATCCATATGAACACATAATTAAGTAACTAATTAAAAGTGCGTTCTCTCTAACAACTTATAGTAGCACAATCTAACAAACACATTGCGATTACTTACCATAATTCCAAAAACAAAACCTTCAACAACATTCTGAACAACAGAGATGGCTGCTAGCTCTAGAGAACCAAGATGTCCAACGAATGCAATGCTGACAAATCCAATGGAGAACTGAGAAACCGCGGTGATAATGGCAGGAGCAGCTATTTCCCATAACTTCTTGGATTCATTTAAGCTCTTTTTGCTCATCTTCTTAGCATCATCACAATCATCACCTTCAAATCTCCTTTCCATTTCAAAATTCCCCAATGGTTCTACTGCCATTGTAACAAAATCCCCTGTTTTCTTCCTCTGTTTTTTTCCCCCCTAATTACATGCTATCTTGCTAGTTAAATTCAACTATATTCTACTATTATATAAGAGGGAGTTTATGATGGGACATTCTATGTGTCCCATCATAAACTCGCTATATAATATATAATATAATAATATAATATAATAAATCATTTTTTCTACTATATAATATATATCATTTTTTCTACTATATAATATATATTTATTTTTCTACTATAAGGGATTTTATATAATATATAGTATAATATAATATAATTCTACTATTATATAAGAGGGAGTTTATGATGGGACATTCTATGTGTCCCATCATAAACTCGCTATATAATATATAATATAATAATATAATATAATAAATCATTTTTTCTACTATATAATATATATCATTTTTTCTACTATATAATATATATTTATTTTTCTACTATAAGGGATTTTATATAATATATAGTATAATATAATATAATTCTACTATTATATAAGAGGGAGTTTATGATGGGACATTCTATGTGTCCCATCATAAACTCGCTATATAATATATAATATAATAATATAATATAATAAATCATTTTTTCTACTATATAATATATATCATTTTTTCTACTATATAATATATATTTATTTTTCTACTATAAGGGATTTTATATAATATATAGTATAATATAATATAATTCTACTATTATATAAGAGGGAGTTTATGATGGGACATTCTATGTGTCCCATCATAAACTCGCTATATAATATATAATATAATAATATAATATAATAAATCATTTTTTCTACTATATAATATATATCATTTTTTCTACTATATAATATATATTTATTTTTCTACTATAAGGGATTTTATATAATATATAGTATAATATAATATAATTCTACTATTATATAAGAGGGAGTTTATGATGGGACATTCTATGTGTCCCATCATAAACTCGCTATATAATATATAATATAATAATATAATATAATAAATCATTTTTTCTACTATATAATATATATCATTTTTTCTACTATATAATATATATTTATTTTTCTACTATAAGGGATTTTATATAATATATAGTATAATATAATATAATTCTACTATTATATAAGAGGGAGTTTATGATGGGACATTCTATGTGTCCCATCATAAACTCCCTATATAATATATAATATAATAATAT